TATAAAATTTACTTATATTAACAATCATAGCTTCTGTATCTGAATATTATATTGGTTAAAATTTACCTGAGACCTTATGCTTCTTTTAGCCATCATTAAGCTTCTGTATCTGTAAATTATATTGAGTTCAACTATATTTCAGAGCCAATCTGTGGAACAAGTTCTTCCAGAAACAAGAGCATATAAAAACAAATGGTACATGGTGGTCGATACAGCTTGTTTCCTCAACCCGGAATCAAGAAAAGCTATCCAGTTACTCGAAGGGCTTAAAGGGACTCAACTCATTATCCCAAGGATAGGTAGTTTAAAATCTCATCATCTTTCATCTCATCCAACCTTTTAATCATTTATTTACTTCATCCATTGCAGTGATTAGGGAACTTGACTGTTTAAAGAGACGCGAGGGCCTATTCAGAAAGAACACAACAAGGGCAGCTTCTTCAGTGTTGCAGTGGATCGAAGAGTGCATGGTTAGATCAAGTTGGTGGATTCATGTACAAAGCTCACTGGAAACCATGCCAGTGGCACCAACACCCCCTGCTACTCCTCGATCACCACCGAGCGATGGAAGTGGTGAAATGGCTTTCTTCTCCTCTACTAGCAGGAGCCTGATGGAGATTGTTTCTCCAACTGAAGAAGACCATATTCTTGATTGTGCTCTCTTGTTTAAGAAAATGAAGGATGCTGAGCATTTGGTTATGTTAACCGACAGTACTATATTGAAAATCAAAGCAATGGCAGAGGTAAGTACGCGGAAAAAAGAGAGCTTATTTTCGGTTTGTTACCCTGAGCTTTACGCTTTTTTCACTTTGATACCCTCGAAGTTTCAATAACATTTCTGTTTGGTACCCCTGTCTAGATTTTGTTTGATTTTCTATTAAATTTGTATCACGTGGTCATGATAATGCCTGTATACATTGTGATTCTTTTCGGTCTCTGGCAATTGGAGAAAATGGACTAAAATGTATCATGTGCTATGCAGGTGATAGAATTTTAACAGAAAATCTAATGCAATCTTAACAGCAGTATCAAGCTGAATGGGGATTTAAACTTGAGGGTATCAAAGTGTTAAAATGATATTGGGGTTACCAAAGTGAAAAAATGGGTAAACTTTCGGGGGCATTAGTCTGAAAATAAGCCAAACAAAAATTATGAGTTCTGTCAGTATATTGATCATAAATTTATGAATTTTGTTGCATTTGTTTACAGGGTCTGCTATGTGAGGCGCCGGTTGAGTTTCGAGAGAGCCTTGTAAATCCTTACTCGAAGAGATTTCTGTGGTCAGATAGCAGCCCGAGAGGATCAACTTGGTCTTGTTTAGGTGAGGTTGGCTTGTTTGAGAGCTATTACTGTCAATTATCAGGTGAAAGAAAGGCGGCAAGAGCAACTGAGAATGTTAAGGTATTGAAGCTTATATTGCTACACAACTCTCATTATGGGAAGACCAGCTAGGTCGTATAAGGTTTCTATACGTCCTCTATGAATACCAATATGTGTCTCAATATGTCAATGTTTGTATCGTGCATCCAAGGATGAGATTGGGGGAAACCGCGCGATATAAGTTGCTGATATGAATTTTGCTTAAATTTGAAGCAAACTTTTAGTTTATTTGTATTATTGCCATCTTTTTCAGTTAGTTTACCAGTAAAGTTCCGCATTTTTTTTATGCTCGTATGTTTGTATTGCAATGAGATACAGAAAGAACTTCTGGAGGATCCTGACCAATACTGTAATAGTTGAGAAAATTCACGCGAAAGGGCGATGGAATTTTCTTCTGGTTCTTATACCTTGTTGTGGCCGATGCTTTGAGAAACCAAACCAACGAACGCCGAGAGAAAGACCAAACAAAACACAAACACCAAGGTTTTACGTGGTTCGGCAAATTGCCTACGTCCACGGGGCAAGAAGGGGGTGGGTTTTCACTAATAGAGAAGGAGAGTACAAATTGAGATTACAAATCGCTCAAACGAACCAACTAATCTCACCAACAAATCTCTCAATCTCTCAACCAATAACCCTAACAAATAGCTCAGAAAGATCTCTCTTTTTCTGTGCTCCAAAACCCCAAAACTCTCCTCACAAAACCCTCAAATCGTATTGGTATTTATACCAAAACAGAAACCCAAACAGACTGCAAATAGGAACCTGAACTTTCCAAAAAACCCGTCATAAGTCGACTTATCAGTCTGCATAAGTCGACTTGGCAGAGCGAAAAACAGCAACTGGAGAAGAGATCATAAGTCGACTTATCAGACCTGATAAGTCGACTTGGCAGAGCAAAAAACCAACAATCCAGAGCAGAACGTAAGTCGACTCATGCACCAACATAAGTCGACTTACCATAAGTCGACTTATGCCTGTGCATGAGTCGACTTATGACCAAAAATCTGCTTTTTCCAATTCTTCTCCACAATTCTCCACCTCGGCGAAGTTTTCCCAAAACTGAGCCGACACCAACCAAACAAATGCCTCACATGCTGAGACCCAAATGAGAGTGTGAACACTCACCCCAAATGTCGATGTCGCTCACCAAATCGGCTGCATCAAAATGACTGCCTACGTATCCTTTGCCCAAGGAATCAAGCCTTCACGTAGTTCACCCAAACGGCCTCCAAAGGCCCTCAATCAAATAGAAAAGTCTGCAACTCTTCTCCAATATCACCAAACGATCTGCAACTGATAGTATTCCCAATGACCCCAAATTGAGACAAATCAAACACCTCCACCTGAGGTAAACCAATGGCCATATCCAAACTATATCTACCAGCTGCAACTGAATCCAAAACCAATCCATCATCTGCATCCAAAACCAAATGATCTCCAACCTGTGTCACCTTAGCTGGAATCCCAAATGACGCAGTATGATCTGGAGTATGTGGAGTAATCTCCACCCAACGTGGAGTAGCATCACTCTCCACCTGCTGCGATATCCAAATGACCTGATCAACACTCTCCACCTGCCGAGAGTCAAAAGTGACATACCTGCTCAGAACAAAATCAGAAGCTCCCAAACGATAATCAACTGAGCCTCCGAACCCCAAACGCGCAATCGGATCCAATCTCACATCCACGATGTGACCAAATGCTGGGTATCCAAATATCCGACGCGACCCAAAATCTGAAGCAGCTCCACCAGATCTAATAACTCCTAAAGCAGCAGTCGGCGACCTATGCATAAGATGACCCAAATATGTCGAAGCCCGCACACCAATGCCAATGCTCGACATCAAACGCCGATCCTCCTCCAGAAAGGAACGACCCATCGAAACTGTCATCTCATCTCGTCGCCCCAAAGTCTCCACACCAATGAAGTGTCTCCTATTGCCGTGAGCTCGGCACCAACGCAAGAAAGGACCCCTACCAAAGCTGAAACAATGAGTTACCTTTCTGCCAATACACTTCTTCCAATTGTTGTTGACTTCTAGGACTTTACACCAACGGGAACTGGTCGCGACCCAATAATGCCTAGAACAATCACCAACTGTGGAAACCAAGATACGATTACCTCCCAATGATGCCTCCTTGGAAGGCCCCCAAATGCCTGACTGAACACCTCCAAAAAGACCCCTCGCTCGATGGATAGAAGTGCCAAACTCCACCACGGTCTCGCTCATCCTAATGTGCTCACAGGACTTCAATCTGCAGGTCATAGCACTCCTCAACAACCAATGCACGGTATTACCAATCATATACCCCAGCACCAAACAATGCCACAGTCTAGCCGAATCTGATGAAGTCGTCATTTCCCTATCAATCACCGTGCTTCCGTGCAAATAATACAAATTTCTTCTTCTGACGCCCTTCATCACAATCATGGACCCAAATGTAACCTTCAAGCGTGCATCCGCCAAGGTCACCCTATAGCCAGCTGCCTCCAAAGCTCCAAGTGAAATGATGTTCTTCTTCAACTGAGGAACGAACCTCACTCCAACCAACTCCCGAATCACCCCGTCACTCATCCTGATCCGAACAGTACCAATACCACCAATAGAGCATTTGTGATCATTCCCCATGAGCACGAAATCCCCTCTTTCCAACTCCTGAAAGCTGGAGAACCAATCCCTCCTAGGGCAAATGTGGTATGTAGCACCCGAATCCAATATCCACTCTGTAGAGTAGGCAACACAAACTGACGGCAGTGCAGATAACGAGTAGCCCGAAGAATCCGAATCTGAATCGTTGCCACTAGCCTTGACAACATTCGCCTCTGAAGCTTGAATAGCTTTTCCCTTATTCTTCCCGGCTCGATCAACTAACTTTGGGCAATCGGCTTTCCAATGTCCATCTTCTTTGCAAAAGGCACATTGATTCTTACGAACTCCAAGATGTGCCCCTCTAGACTGCGACCTCCCACTACGGTTTGGACCCTTTGCTCTTGCGACCAACGCCCCCGCTACCGGCTCAAACGAAGTCTCCTTATCCTTCTTTCGAAGCTGATAATTCACAAGTGCAGCGGTGACCTCACTATACGAAAGAGATGCCTTCCCATTAATAAGAGTAAGAACGAAGGTCTCATATTCCTCGTCAGGCAAGGAACTCAATAGCAACAACGCCTTGTCCTCATCTTCAATCTTAACATCCACATTCGCCAAATCCGCAAGAAGCTTCGTGTAGTGGTTCATGTGATCACCAATGGAGGTTCCTTTCTTCAACTGGAAGCGGTAAAGCCTCCTCTTCAAATGCAAGCGATTCTCCACACTCTTGGTCAAATACTTGCTCTCAAGGATCTCCCAAATCTTCTTTGCAGAAGTCTCATTGATCACATCATACTTTAGATCTTGAGTGAGACAAGACCTAATCACACCACACGCCGTTCGATTCATCTTTTTCCAAACCTTCTCATCAATGTTGTCCGGTTTCCCGTCCAACTCCAACGTATCTTCCAAATTTTGCGCGTTGAGCGCATCCATGACTTCGCATCGCCAAAGTCCAAAATTGTTTGTGCCATTGAACTTTTCCACATCAATCTTCATTGAGTGGATATTCAAGCTTTGGACGGTCTTCACGCCGGAAGTACTGCCCACAACTCCTTCTTTCTCGGCCATAATCCTCAAGGCACCACCAAACCAATGCGGAAACAAACGAGAAATAGATCCAAACTGAAAAAGAGAGATTTTTACAAAAAAAAGATCCCACCTTTATCACCAAACGAAGCCCTAGCTGAACTTCCAAAGCGATCTACTCCTCCAAAATAGCCCAAGCGTAGCCCGAGCTCTGATACCACTTGTTGTGGCCGATGCTTTGAGAAACCAAACCAACGAACGCCGAGAGAAAGACCAAACAAAACACAAACACCAAGGTTTTACGTGGTTCGGCAAATTGCCTACGTCCACGGGGCAAGAAGGGGGTGGGTTTTCACTAATAGAGAAGGAGAGTACAAATTGAGATTACAAATCGCTCAAACGAACCAACTAATCTCACCAACAAATCTCTCAATCTCTCAACCAATAACCCTAACAAATAGCTCAGAAAGATCTCTCTTTTTCTGTGCTCCAAAACCCCAAAACTCTCCTCACAAAACCCTCAAATCGTATTGGTATTTATACCAAAACAGAAACCCAAACAGACTGCAAATAGGAACCTGAACTTTCCAAAAAACCCGTCATAAGTCGACTTATCAGTCTGCATAAGTCGACTTGGCAGAGCGAAAAACAGCAACTGGAGAAGAGATCATAAGTCGACTTATCAGACCTGATAAGTCGACTTGGCAGAGCAAAAAACCAACAATCCAGAGCAGAACGTAAGTCGACTCATGCACCAACATAAGTCGACTTACCATAAGTCGACTTATGCCTGTGCATGAGTCGACTTATGACCAAAAATCTGCTTTTTCCAATTCTTCTCCACATACCTCACCCTCCACATACTGGAACTGCATTGAAGCTAGTGTATATATAGTTTCTCCGAGTTCAACAACCCATAGTTGCTAGTTCTTTAAGTCACTAGAAATCTATTAGCCTGATGTTTCTGAAAGTTTGGAATATGAGAATCCTATAGGACATACGGTTGACTAAATCATCAAAACCTGTTTTAATTTTCTCATGCTTTCAGTAAGAAAAATTTTCAGCAATCCTTATCATACCACTAATCAACAAAAATACTGGAGGATTCAAACTCATTCCTTGTTATTCACATAAACAGACAAAGTAAAGTTCAAAGCCAAAGTGTAGCACCTGTTCTTAATTAATTAATTTATTTATTTATAACCCAGTTTGTGTTATGACAAATTCCCAGGATAAACTAATATCAATCACACGAAAACATGAAAATATCGAGAACATATGTGCACAAAGATATACGTGGTTCGGCTTGTAGCCTATTTCTACGGGCGAATGAGAAGAATAGCTTTACTAAATTGTGAGGAATATAAAGTGGAATCTCTCAATCACTCAATCCCAAATAACAATCCTATAATCTCAATACAATCTTTCAAAGATGAACAAAAAAAGAGCCTTCAATCACCAACCAAGAGTAGATCAAAAAACCCTTAATAAGATGGGGGTTTGCTGCAGGTAATCCAAAAAGACCTTCTACCTTTCTCTACTATAACTTTCAGGTGGCTCTCAAATCATCACAGGGATTATGCATATTATAAAGGCTTAATCTTGCTAGTTGTTGTTAGCAAGGATATCCATAAAAGCTAGGATTCTTAATTGCGTTAGGA